CACTTATATTCACATGTAACTTTGTTTGGTTGAGAAAACAACAACAATAAATGAGGTGTGTCCAGTCCTGGTCTTCAAGGGCCCTTATCCTGCAGGTTTTAGATGTTTCTCTGTTCTAACACACCTGATTTGAATGATTAACAGTCTTCTGCAAAACATGAAGAGGTGATTTCATCACTGTATCAGGTGTGCTGGAGCAGGGAAACAAGTAAAACATGCAGGATGGTGACCCTCAAGGACCAGTGTAGAGGTTTGATATTAGCCTGTGGTGTGACATTTATTGATGACTTGTTTTAGCCTGAAAAATGATTTTAAAAATTCTTTTGGTTTGCCGTCTGGATTAAGTCTTTTGCCTCTTTCCCCAAATTATGACTATTAGACAGAAACGATTAGACAGAAAATAACTAAAAATGATCGGACTATCCCTTTAAGTTTGTCACATGACCGTCTGACTGATGGACTGATGCTTCAGATATAGTTTTTTTCTGTCATCGAGCAAACCCAGCTTTGTCGCAATGAAAAGGTTTGATTTGATTATCGATGATGATGATTTTTACTCTCAGGAAACTGGATCTGAACACCAAAACCAGTTGAAACCAGCACCACTGATGGGTTTCTGCTGGAAGATTCACTGAGGCAGAAGGTGCATGTATGTGAGGGTCTCTGTACATACATGACTGCACGGTTAGCTGCGGTCCAGTGGATTGGCCAGCTGGTTGTCATGGTTATCAGGCTATCATGTGGGTAACCACAGAGCCCAGGCTGGTGCTATAGTATCCCAGCATTGTTCAGAATATTTCTCCAAGCCACMCCCCCCACCCCACAAATTTTAAAAAGGTATTTTCCTCACCTTTTTTTTTCATTTTTGTCATTAATCGGACAATTTCTGTTTTTGCTTAGCCATGCTTTTCTAACCATCTGTCCCCTCCCTACAGTTCTTTACACCCTCCTCCTCCTCCTCATCATCATCATCATCTTAGATCCATCATGTCGTCTCTCCCTTTTTGTCTGTTTCTTTTTTCTCCAGCTTCTGTTCTTCATTATTTAAATAAACTTTTTTAAAGGCACAGTGTGTATGATTTTGTCAATTCGTTTAGCCAAAATTGAGATAATCACTAATGACAATAAAAAAAAAAAAACATGTCTAATCATTGCAGACAAAGAC